AGTAAATTAACCATAATTGTCTTTAAAGGAAAAATGCAGAGACCTTGCTTAAAATTATTGTAACAGCATTAAAGTGAGGTGATGAAGGTGTACCATCAGTTTTAGATCAAGCTGAGATCTTCTGGCTAAGAGAAGCTACCATGGAAGCAAAGAGCAGGTCGGGTGCTTGGCAAAAGGTAAAACCGTTACTTAAAGGACCACTATAGGCACCCAGACCACTTCAGCTCAATGAAGTGGTCTGGGTGCCAGGTCCATCTAGGGTTAACCCTGCATCTGTAAACATACCAGTTACAGAGACAGCCGCTAGAGGCGCTTCCGCGCTTCTCACTGTGATTTTCATGCTTTCCTATGGACTGACAATGCGCATTTGGCAGATGAAGTCGGAATTGAAAATGAATAGTTTATTTTAATATTTGAGAAATTCAAAAGAAAAAAAAATTAACAGAAACAAGTCAGTAGCATCGTATTGGTAAACTGAAAACTGGAAAAGAGAAAGCAGTACAAAACTTTTAAAAATAGTTACTAATAACTTTTCGTTTTTTATGTTTCCACTGGGTGAAAAATCCACAACATTTATTGCAAGATAAGAAGCTAATTGTACCTGCAGTTACATATGAGTGTACACATCACATCTAATTAGAAGAACTCTAGGCTATGGTCCAAAACTGAAAGCATTTCTACAAATGAAATAAACAAAAAATACATTCCATGTCAGAGATATTGTCCAGATTTTTAGCTTGTCATTTATACTCAAGTTTTTGGCAGTTTTGAGTAGGTAACAGCAAATAAGTGCTGATTGTAAATTCACATTTCTGTCAGAAATGTTGAACCCACAGCAAACAGATTAATAGTGAACATGCTAATGATCACAATCGTCCTATCAAAATGCATCTGGCTCTTGCATTAAAATGGAGGTGTGGCAGCACAGCCACACAATATAAATGATGAATCACTCAAAATGTGACTTCACAACCAAAACAATGTTACATCATGGACACAAAGAAATTTACAAAACCCTTAGCAATGAATATTAGATGCTCCCATGTTCCTTCAAAATGAGTAGCACATTGATTGTGTGCTTTGACTGCATTAGCTGTTCATGTGTTAATAATTCTGTGGTTAGAGTTACTTATACAAGCTTCTCAAACTGCAAATTGATGAGTCCTTCATAAAGAGAAGTTTCTAGATTTGCTTTCTTAACCCCTTTACAACCAAAACATACATACAAGTTTCTACTCTTAATTATTTGTAAAACTAGATTTAGTCCCTGTTTATCTTTATTTATACTCAATTAATGATTATTGAATACCAGGTTACGAATACAGGGCATTTGACCATTTGTATTTATCTATTTTTTTCATACCTCCTTTATGTGAGATGCATTATTTGCTACAGCTGTCTAAAATAAAAGATGCTATACGCTGTCTAAAATAAGATGTTTAAATTTACATTTGATTTACCATGGTTTTTTTTTTTTTTAAACAGCAATGTATACATAATCTATATGTTAAAGACATGCTCAGTCTATATTTTCGCAAACAAAAAGTGATTGGCAGTGAATAGGTTATATGAATAGTGGATAAACATCGAGACTGTAAAAGAGCACATGCTACCTGAAGTGTAACTTTGCAACATATGTCTAACATATTTGGACAGTACATTATGTTTGAGAAGCACACTTTAAGTGCACCTGTCATGCCTAGTGGGACTTGGTGTTACTCGAAAAGGATTTCAATTGAATTAAAATATATTATTCCTTCCCCTCACTTGTCAATCATTTCTAAGCATACATGGCTATGCCACTGACCTCCTATGGGGAGTGCTTATGTGCTTCCCACGCAAAACCAGTCATACAGGATTTATGCAGGAGGGAACTTTTTGTGGGTATTACAGCTAGTGTTGTTCTGATGAACCCATCCAAAAATAAAATAATATATTATATATTATAATATTATATATTCGTTGTTTAAGCAACTTTAACCTGAGGCTGAACTTGATGAACGCAAGTCTCTTTTCAGCTATGTAACTATGTAAAGAAGACAAATTAACTTGTAATGACAGAATCACCTTAACATATAATCGATGGCCATATAGGCACCTGGTACTTACAGCAAGGGCATTTATCTTGTCTTTGAATATAATTGATGGAATATAATTGATGGAAGCTTAGAACACTATGCAATGCAAAAAACAAAAACAAAAAAACATAGAAAAACAAAACAAGAAAACAAACAAAAAATACAATTGAGTTGCTCATATATTGAATATTGCCATCACATGTGACAAAAGTAGAGTTGTGCATCATAGATCTCTTTCCAGTTGTGCATCTGCCATGTTGACTCTGCAAGCTGAACTTACACCCCACTGCACCTGCTAAAGTAGAAAGATATTCCTGCCTGTTTTCAGGAGGTGACCAGCACCATTATTTTGAGTTTTATTTATGCTTGTTCTTGTTGAATTCCTAACCATTGATTTGTTCCTTGTACTGTCACCGCACCATCTCATTGACCTATGAACTAGACTTCAGTTCACAGTCTCTATTTTGGACACCTTTTTCTGCTCCTATCTTTTTTTCATATGCTTTTGATTGCTCTTGGAGAGTCTGTCTTCTCTGCACGAACATATATTTATGCATACATACACTTACTATATAATCGAGAGGTTCTTAACCTTTTGCGACAGAGCTTCAAATTATATTAGCTTGGTGACCCATTCTAAAGTTGTAAAATTAGCTCTGTGTCCAATTCTATTGTCATATAATATATGCTAATATATATTCTTCAAAACACCTCCATTATTTTCTTCCTGGTGTCACAAGAATCCCTTGAGCACTGGTCTAACTGAGCATTACAGCAAGAAATATATTGTCGGGAGTTGCTTGGTGTCTTGTATTATACTAATCATTTGCAAATACACTATCCTGTTATACCTTTCCTACTCAATTACAAGAAGCATAACAAGCACAGAGATAAGAATTACTTTAATGGAATATGCAAGGAATGTAAAATACTACGGATAATGGTGTCTATTAATCCTTTAAGCTGGTAGAAGGAGACAAAAAGAAATTCTAACTGATATTAGAATTTCATGTTTGAAGTGTTTCTGTAACACTGTAAATGCCAGTTTTACTTGTTTTCCCCAGTGGTGAGTCCTCCTATGCCACTGATCCACTCAACCTCTGGAAGACTCTCAGTGACAACATTTCCCTTCCTGTCTGGATTTACTGCTTGCACAGTAAATGCCATGACTGTTTCAATCAAATGTGGTTATCATGGTACTTGTCCAGCAGAATGCTGCTCAAAAGGAAGCATTAGTCTAACACATCTCTATGTAAGATCTCACTTCCGCATGAATGATCATTCAGTCAGAGTGATTTAGTGGCCTTCCTGGCTGTCAACTTTACTGCAAGGACGTCATACCTAAATTAATTAATAAAACTTCTCATATCTCTTGAAGTTTTATATAATATGTATCATAGTTGCGGTCCTAGAATATAAACTTATTTTATTATCCAACTTACCAATTAGTAGTCCATTTAAAATGTAATTATTTATGATCAAGAACCTAATATTTTTCGCAATACCCACTATATTGTTTTCTAGCTTCCACCTACTTCTTATTGGTGATTTTTACTCTCATTACCCTGTCAATCTTGCCTGCATTTTGGAAGAAGACATTAATTCTCTTGACTAAAGTGTGTTCCAATGGCCATTCCCTTCTACAGACTTAAGGTTACATTATATCAATGCTTCTAAATTCACTGCCATCATTAATAGCTTATAGTATTCTCTTAGTCTACTGAGTGAATTGTTGTGCTGGCATTTTGTATGTTCTTATATTGCTGCAGATTTTACTGTTGCTAATGAACAAGAATTTTTTTCTCACACCCTCCAGAAAATCAAAACATCTTTTTACCTACACATTTTTACTTTTAGATTATTATAAAATGTTTATCTGGAGCAAAGTACAAAACATAGTGTTTTGAAAAATTGCAGGCAAGTGAGATTCAGGTGTATGAATATAGTTTAGAATTTAACATTGTGATTTAATCATCAATGTATTCCTTCCAAGTTTTATTCATGAACACACATGCTTCCAAAAGTTAGATGAGAATAAAATAACAAAATAGAAAATAGAAGAGAAAGATGTAGTGAAAACTAATATTTTTCTTCTTATGGTTGCATTTATGTATTTTTATGTTTTATTTCAGCCTTTCATTCATGACTCACATAAAACCAATGTATAGATGAGTAAGTCTAAATAAATGAGGTGATATGAAAAAAAAGAAAAAATCTGAAAAACAGGCCTTGATCTCTGAAAGTATTTAAGTAGAATATACTGCCACATTTTCTGGATATCAACACACAAAGTATTTTACAATCAAGTTTACCCACAATTCTGTTTTGAACATCACAGTATTACCTTTAAATTCGTTATCTGTCATTTTTATACTCATTATACTGTCATTTTTATAACATAGATTAACAATCTCCTTTAAGGATTTCAATACTCTTGAGAATTTTTATTTTTTGCTTCCTAATGTCAGACTTTCATTTTAATGTACTTAAATAAAACAGCTTCAAAGTGGTTCCAATAACTAACTGGAAGAATTTCTTACCTTAACTTGAATTTGGTTTGTGTTGAGTTTTTTGAGATCAGTACATAGAAGGTTAAAGTTTCACCTTTTCTTACATTCCGAGAAAAAGAGCGAATTATCACATTACCATCCAGATGCATATCAATGGAATGATTATTTTTCATCTGGTAGAGATAAACACTTCCAATTCTTTGTAATGGTGGACCAGTATCATCAATGTAATTCCGTGGTGCCCACATTCCACTTTTTCCCTTGTCTTCATCCTTAATGCATTCTCCTTTCTCATCACTTTGCTGAACAGAATAATACAACTCCACAGGACTACCTTCAGGTTGCTCAAACATCCTTTTACGTCCAGCCACCACTGTTGGTGGATCAAACCAACCAGAAAGTAGCTCCAACTGGGCAACACACAATCCCAGGTCACCAGATAATTTGCACATCCCTTTCACTTCTCTTGTCTCACGAAAGGCAAACACCTTTACACAAGGAAGCCTTTCAGTGGTGCTATAGTCATCCCAGTCTCTTCCTACAATATAAAACAATATTTGCACTTGTGGCTGTGTGGGAAAAATTTTATCCTTGAGAATATAAGCTTTAATTTTCCAATTAAAAGTAAACTTTTCTTTAGATTCAAAATTGTTAAGAAGTAAAAGTGTGTCCTGTGGGATTGTTTGCTCAACAAAAAAAGGCCCATAGCTTGCATTCATTACAGGTTGCTTCTTGGCCTTATAAATAAGAAAAGATTCAATTCTAGATTGCAGGCTTGAGTTTCTCATAATATCTTGGTTCGCTTCTTTGAGAAAAAAGTAAACATCACTCTGATGGATGGTGTAGCTCACTGGTAGGTAGGTTGGCAGTAAAGTAAACCTTGGTATGCTGTCTAGGATCCCACGGCTTTCAGTCACTGTTAATGGTAAAAAAAAAAAAGAAAAAACATGAGATGACAATACTCTACAAGAAAACATTTTTCTAGAATATAATACAACCAAAACTTTTTAATTAGCTGATCATGTTTTCATTGACACTACCCAGTAATCTCATGGCAGCATATGGGCATATATGCCCCATCTTGCCCAAGAATAGTGGGATATATACCCACAAATCTCAGTCATACTAGAATGTTTATGTCCCAGTACTGCCTTAAGGATAAAAGAAAGGAATATTTTATTTTAACTATATTTCTAACCTGAATTTTAACCCTCAAATCATGTAATTTAATACATAATTCTGAAGCAAGTATTGGGTGAAAATAAAGCTACTGTGAGGTTCTGGAGATAGTGGGCAAAGTCATGTTTTATTCGCCATAATATACAGTTCACAGCATCCAGCACAGTGCAACATCTCAGGGCAGCATCACATCTCCTATTTAGGAGTGACATGCCCCATTTTAAGCCCAAAGTCCTCTGTCCTTCTTTTCTACCCTAATGCCCCTCCTTATTATTGTTTCTGAGTATATAACAGAGCTCCAAAACAATAATACTCACAGTCTTTAAGCTATAATAAATGTGTTTATAAACCAGTCTGTATAACTAAGATATATTGTTCTTGTTTTAAATTGAAGATTATGCTAGCGCTAGTGTACTTATAATCTTAATTTTAGTAATGACAGGAGGCGAGTATTTTGCATTAACTCTCTTTACTAACTCCACACAGCAGTAAAGAAAAGTGAAACATTAACCAATGAAAATGCAGTATGAGGTATAGTATTCACAGTGATGAGGCTCCTCCCCCTCTTTCGAAAGCGACATCAAAGACAAATATAGAAAACGGATAAAGTCTTGAAACATAAAGTCTTGAAACATGCACCAACGGGTGACTTTCCAAATACGAAGTCCTAGTGGCTGAAGGACGGTCCAAACGTGTCCATCCTGAGCATGAGATGTAATGTCCCAAAGTTATGCTGAAAAAGAACGTGGAGAAGGTTAGGTACCGATCTGGCAACTGTTTGCAGTAATGTAATAAACCCAACACAATTTCCACTGAACTGATGCAAAACTAGATGAAAAAAACTAGTATAAATATGACAGTAAACGATAACAATGATCTAGCTAAACAAAGGTACAAGCCTGAGTCATACAAGATGAATAGGAAGATAGAAGAAGTAAGGAATACACAGAGTAAGTATACTTACTTGGATCCTTATCCCCCCAAGGGTGTGGAGGGTGGGAAAATACTCGCCTCCTGTCATTACTAAAATTAAGATTATAAGTACACTAGCGCTAGCATAATCTTCAATTTTACCACATGACAGGAGGCTTCATATTTTGCATTTTTAACGCTGAACCAGGAGAGACGTGGCTGCCACGCATTCGGTCGGAAGTAGAAGGTCCGAAAGGTCGATTCTCGTGACCAATCTGCAGCTCGTAGGATGTCTGCCAGGGATGCGCCTGCGGTGAAAGCCGAAGAAGCTGCCGCCCCGCGGACTGAGTGGGTTCCGAAGGTTTCCTCTACGCCTGCCAGGGACAGAATCCATCTTACCCATCTGGCCAGGGTGGTGGTAGAGACGGGAACGTGTGGCCTAACGTAGGACACCAAGAGTTGGCCCGTAGGGGAGACGCGCAAGCGGGTTGTGACCTCTACGTATCGATGTAGGGTAGATACCACGCAGAGAAGCGGTTCTGTAGGAAAAAAGGGGTAGAAGACCGATGTGGAGTCGGATTTCGTACGGCGTGAAACTTGGAAGGTAACTCCCTCCGGGGAGACCGAAAAGGCATCGATGTCGAATGCTCGTACGTCTGAAACTCTGCGGAACGAGACCAAACAAAGTAGGAGCGTCAGTTTGGCTGATAGTTGTCGGAGTGAAAGTCTGTCGTTGTCTGGCCAGTCCCTCAGGAACTGTAGGACGTTTTCGACGTCCCATAGTCGGGAATATTTAGGTCTCGGAGGCCTCTGAAGTCTGATGCCCCTGAGGAGGCGGCATACCAACGGGTCTTTCCCGACTGGGATCCCCTGGGCCGGAACGTGGGCCGCCGAAATTGCGGAGCGCACTACGTTGAGGGATCGGTAAGATCGGCCCTTGGAGAAGAGATGCGAGAGAAAATTCATGATGGCTGTTATAGGTGCCGTAAAGGGATCAAAATTCCGCTCACTGCACCAAGTAGCCCAGGAGCTCCATGCCGATAAGTAACATCGTCTGGTTCCTGGTGCCCATGAGTCCCATAGGAGATCTCGAGATGTTTGCGATAATTCTTCGGTTTGCCAGGCTCCCCTGAAAGCGTCCAAGCCACCAGCGTGAGACGGTCTTCCAGGATGAGCGGGTGTTGATTCCCTCTCGGGTCCGTAAGGAGCGTCGGATAGGATGGTATGAGGAGGGGATCTCTGTAGGATGATGCTAGAAGGTCCGGAAACCATGGTTGACCCTGCCATAGGGGTGAGATGAGGAGCAGGGATCCGCGCTGGGTCTTCAGGTATTGCATCGTCCTGGCTACCATGGCGAATGGGGGAAAGGCGTACGCCCCCGAGGGTGGCCAAGGTTGGAGAAACGCATCTACTGCCTTGCTCTCTGGGTCTGGGAGCCAGCTGAAGTACTCGTCTGTCTGCCTGTTGTTGCGTGACGCGAAGAGGTCTAGGTGGAGGGGACCCCTCCTGACCGAAAGGCGCTGGAAGATCGCTGGGTCCAGTCTCCAGTCGCTGCTGTCCCGCCAGTGGCGTGAAAACCAGTCCGCTGTCAGGTTCGTTTCTCCCGGGAGGTATTCTGCCATGAGGGAGATTTTCCGGGGTAGACAAAAGTCGAAAATGTCCTTCGTGATCTCTGAGAGGAGTCTGGATCGGGCTCCTCCCAGGCGATTGATGTAGCGGACCGCTGAGATGTTGTCCATCCGGAGGAGGATGCAGCAGTCGGTCCGGTCTCTCGCTAAGCTGCGGATCGCAAACGACCCCGCTAGGAGTTCTAGGCAGTTTATGTGAAGGTTGGTTTCTTGGGAAGTCCAAGTGCCTCCTGTCGATCTGCCCTCGCTTGTGGCGCCCCAGCCCCACAGGCTGGCGTCTGATTCCAGAACTATGTCTGGTGTATTCCCGAAGATGGCTCGGCCGTTCCAAGCTTCCATGCTGTCCAACCACCATCCGAGTTCTTCCTTGATCTCTTCCGTTACCGGAATGTTTTGGTCGTAGGAAGGAGGAAGGAGGCCTTCAGGCTTTGCATCGCCCTGTAGTGTAGTGGGCCCGGGAAGATTGCCTGTATAGATGCGGACAGTAGTCCCACGATTCGAGCCAGGCTGCGGAGTGGAATGGTGTTGCAGCGGATGACTCTGCGTAGTTCCTTTTTGATGGCTGTGATCTTTGAGATCGGGAGCCGTAAGGTGCTGGTCTTGGAGTCTATCTCGAAGCCCAGGAAGTGTACCGTCTGGGCCGGGACCAGTTCCGATTTTTGGTAGTTCACCACGAAGCCTAGGGACGTCAGGAGTTGAATGGTATATCGTGTGTGTTGTGTTAGACTGTACCTGTCTGAGGAAAATAGTAGCAGGTCGTCCAGGTAGATAATGCACCGAATTCCTTGAGTTCGTAGTTGTGATACCACCGGCTTGAGAAGCTTGGTGAAGCACCACGGTGCTGAGCTGAGGCCGAAGGGGAGGCATGTGAACTGCCAGGGTTGGTCTTGCCATAGGAATCTGAGAAATCGGCGGCAAGACGCATGGACGGGGACCGACAGGTACGCGTCCTTGAGGTCCAGTCTTGTAAACCAGTCCCTGTCTTGGAGTAGATCTCTCAGCAGGTGAATGCCTTCCATCTTGAAGTGCCTGTACGTTACGAAAGCGTTGAGTCCCTTCAGGTTTATAACCGGTCGGAATTCTCCTGATTTCTTTTTTACTAGAAAGATGTTGCTGAAGAAGCCTTTTTCGTCGTGAGCCGGTTCTATCGCTCCCTTCGCTTTGAGTTCCCGTAGTTCGCCGTCGATTAGGCGGCGGTCCTCCTCGGAGCATTGAATGGGATGCGGAGGAACGAGCTGGTAAGGGGGTTCTATGAAGTCGATAACGTAGCCCCGAACCGTCTGGAGGATCCATGCGTCCGTGGAGATGGTCGTCCAGTTCTGGAAAGACAGAGCAATACGGCCTGCAGTGTAAGGGGTAAGTGAACCTAAAGACACTGTATTGCTTACCTGTGGTGAAGCGTGCTCTGCCACGGTTACGAGGTCCTCTGCCTCGGTCTGCTCCCCGGGTATAGGAGAAGGGTTGTCTGAAACCCACTTCCGGGTAGAAAGGCTGTGGTCTGTGTGACCGGGGGCCAGAAGGCCAGAATCGGCTGGCTGCTCGGCCCCTGTAGCGGCCAGCCCGTCCAAAAACACCCCGACTGGGGTAGCCTCTGAAAACACGTTTCATAGACGTCTGAGCCTTATTGAGGGACGTAAAGATGTTAACATGCTTGTTTAGCTCCTTTAAGAAGGGTTCTCCGAACAATTTGCCCTGTGCCAACGGTCCCAACTCTTTGGTGCCCAAATCCACCAGTTTTCCGTCAATACGGAGTAAGGCTGCCTTGCGCCTCTCAGAGGAGAGGGCTACGTTTGTGTTGCCGACAAAACAGAAACACCTTTGTGCCCATTCCCTGATATCATGTGCCCACTCCTTGACCATGCTAGAGTCGAATTGATCGGCCCTAGTGAACGCATCATCCGCCAGGTATAGTATGCGGGAGAGTGGGCCAATTGAGTCCAGCAATTTGTCCTGGACCCCGTGGAATCCTTTCTCCACGCCCCGCCGAGGGTCGCGGCCACCTCGGGACATAAA